AAGTAATATATAGTGTTACATAATGTAATACTTAATTGAAGATTTAAAAGAAGGAACATCTAAAATAATTACATAACTTAAAAAAATAAACAATAGAATAACTCGTTGTTTAAGATTTAGGATACTTATTATATAAGAATTCCTAGTTATGTAATGTTTAATTATTTTTATTAGAAAACAAGTACTTGATTTTGTAAAATATATATCAAACAATATTAAATATCAGACACACTAATTACACAGTTTTTAGATCACGTGAAATGAATCCAAAATATAAATGTTTATTGACATTAAATTACATAATTCATTTACTTCTTGCTTTCTAAAAATAATTTATTGCATAGATAATAAACTTTAAATTATTATAGCATTAATACAAATATTAAAATATAATATGCACAATATGTGTGTGTGTGGTGCATACTATTCTAAAAATAATAATATCATACATACTACTATTCTAATATTAAGAAAATTTCTCATGAGTCATGACTCACGAAACCCTCCTTGGTCGCCGGATAAAAATTATTAATCAATAATAACCGATTCATGAGGTTAAACAATGTAGAAGTTATTAAAAGTGTATTGGTTGGTGTCTTTGTCATCATCTAATTTAAACTTAGAATGTACAACTTAATAGATTTAAATGTCGTTAGGGATGTGTATATATTAATGTCATTTTTTGAATAAAATTAGCCGCATAGCCCTACAGTAGTGTAAAAAATTCGCCCCGCTACACTAGGGGAAAAATTTCGCCCCACTACACTAACGAAATTTTTTTCACTCCCTACACTACCGAAAAATTTCGCCCCCCTTGAATAGAAATCCTGGATCCGTCCCTGCAGGAACATATATACATACCTTAAAATCAAAGTATTATCTCCACTTCATCCTCACAAGTACGATACTTCGGTCATCTTCTAAAGAGGAGTACGGATACTGCTTGTACTGCTCTTTATAAGAGTGAAAGAAAATATATACGGAGTAAATAGTACTAGCCAGGCCATGACTTGCTTAAACTCTATATATATATATATATATATATATAGGGTAATGCTAAGGTAAGGTAGGCCTAAGAATTACAATTCTTAGGCCTCTTTTATTTGAGGTGCTTCCGGGTTGAATTTTTTGATGAAATTTTGTAAACATGTTCTCCATGGATTGAAGATTATGTCCACCAAGTTTCACGATAAAATTCAATCGGGAAGTCATATAAATAAATTATTGATAAAAAACTGCATTTTATATATGTAAAACCCTGCGCAATTTTGAAAAAATTATTTAACCGTCTTTCCGATTGAATTTTATTCTAAAATTTGGTGGGCATAGTCAACACTTCATGGAGAACATGCTCACAAAATTTTATAAAAAAATATGACCCGGAAGCACCTCAAATGAAAGAGGCCTAAGAATTTCAATTCTTAGGCCTACCTTACTTGAACATTTTCCTATATCCTATATATATATATATATATATATATATATATATATATATATATACTCCGTATATATATATATATATATATATATATATATATACTCCGTATATATATATATATATATATATATATATACTCCGTATATATATATATATACTCCCTCCGTAACATTCATATCTTCTCACTTTCCTTTTTTAGATGTAACATTTATATCTTCCCATTTCTAAATCTTCCTATTATACCCTCAATAATTTAAAAAACAATACACTATTACACCTACTTTTTTTGGATTTATCTTTCATTCCATCACATTATTTCACTATCTTCCCATCATACCCTCAATAATTCATATCCCTTTCACTATTCTTAATCTCACCCACTTTTGAAGTGGGAAGATATATGTGATACGGAGGGAGTATATACGAAGTAAGATCGAAGATCACGGGAATCAAATGAATATGGCCCTCTGTCACATGCAAGCCTGAAACATATCTGATAAATTTCTACACATTTAATTCAAAATCATAAACAAACAAACAAAAAAATGTGTCTGATAATAAATGCATAAGTTTGTACGTAGCATTTACTCTTGGGAACATTGCATGTAGATAAAAAGAAAAAATTCTGCCAAACTCACATGGTTAATTTATTAGTCACATGGTCAATATATACTCCGTATTCCGTAATACACATGAATCATTCATACATTCACATCATGTGTAACCAACCATTCTCCAGTATTACATTTACTACATGGTGTCATTTGATTATTGGTAAGTAATTCATAACAAATATGAATAATAATGAGTTTGATATTATCGATTCCTAATTTCCTAATTATTTATGCATGTATCATATATATATATATATATATATATATATATATATATATATATATATATATATATATATATATATATATATATATATATATGCTCCGTATAAGGTTAATTAAAAAAAATGCCAAGTTTATTTCCAAAACCAAATTGACGGACTAGAAGCAATTGATGATTTCTTTGATTATAATTATACGATAGTATATATTACCTTATATATTTTCCTGATTAAATCAATACTTTTTGTAGTATTATGGCACATATTAGCAAAAGAGAGTTTGACGTCCTTGATTTATCTGGCCAAAAGTATTTGGAATGGAAAGTCGACGCTTTGGCACATTTGAAAGCAAATGCCCTTGAAAATACAATTGCTGAAAATAATTCAGCCACTCCCCAAAATAAGGCAAAAGCCATCATCTTTCTTCGTCATCATCTTCATGAAAGTTTGAAATCTGAGTATTTATTGGTAGATGACCCTAAAGAATTATGGGATAATCTCCAAGAAAGGTATGGCCATCAACAAAAGGTCCTTTTACCAAAAGCTCAATATGACTGGATCAATTTACGATTCCAGGATTACAAATCTGTAAGTGACTACAATTCTGCTTTGTTCCAAATAACATCAAAACTAAAGTTATGCGGACAAAAAGTCACTGATGCTGAAATGTTGGAGAAAACTTTGTCCACTATGCATGTTTCAAATGTGCTTTTACAAGAGCAATATAGACAAAAGCATTTTCAAAAGTATTCTGATTTGATATCAGTATTACTATTTGCTGAGACGAATACCGACATTTTGATGAGAAACCACAATATGAGACCCACGGGTTGTAGCCCGCTTAGTTTTGGTCCACCAAATCATGGTTCAAAACATGAATCAAATGCAACCCATAGTGGTGCTCGTGGACATTTCAAACGTGGTTGTGGTATTGGTCATTATAATGGACCTAGCCGGGGAAACAAACAGAGTAGTAGCTCATTTTACAAAGGCAAGGGTAAGCAAAACCGCCATCAAACAAAGAGCCCGACGAAATCTTCAGAAAAGGCCAAAGTCACTTGCTTTAAGTGTGGCACGTCGGGACATTGGGCAAATAAGTGTCGTACACCTAGACACTTGATTGATTTATATAAATCATCTCTAAAAGGAAAGAATGTGGAAACTAATTACGTCAACGAAAATGATCCACCAATGCCCACATTCAATGTGTCTGATTTCTATATGGACGATAATGAGATGAACACCGACATCATTATGGGTGAAAAATAATAAATAAGTAAATAAAAATGAATTTGAAATAATTCTGTTATGTAATATATTCTACAATAAAAGTTTGTTTGTATTGTAATTTTTATTTGGTGTGCTTATTTCGATTGTAAATGTTATGTACATTTTAATGAATAAAGCCTTGTTTATATTACAGTATTGAACTAATATTTGTTCATTTTTATCTTTTCGAAGATATGGAGTTAACTAAAATTTCTCCAAGTGGCTCTGAACAATGTCTAATAGACAGTGCCACAACGCACACCATTTTGAGACATAGAGATTATTTTTCTCATATGACATTAGTTGATGCGAATGTCAATACAATCTCAGGTGTTGCTAAACTCATTGAAGGTTCTGGAATAGCCTGTGTAATTCTCCCAAAAGGGACAAAATTAATAATTAAAGACGCTTTATACTCCAGTAAATCACGGAGAAATCTTTTGAGCTTTAAAGATTTGCGTCTAAATGGTTTTCATATTGAAACCATGTCTGAAAATCAGAAGGAATATTTATGTCTAACGACAAATAGATCTGGCAATAAATACATTTCTGAAAAAATGCCAGCATATTCCTCGGGACTGTATTATACATATATCAGTCCAATTGAGATAAATGTGGTATCTAAAATTTATGACCACAATTCCTTTATCTTGTGGCATGACCGTTTAGGTCATCCAGGCAGCACTATGATGCACAAAATTATTGAAAATTCACGTGGACATTCATTAACTAATGTCAAGATTCCACAATCAAGTGATTTTCCGTGCACTGCCTGTTCTCTTGGCAAATTAATTATCAGGCCATCTTTATACAAAATTGGAGTTGAATCTCCTGCATTTTTAGAAAGAATTCAAGGAGATATTTGTGGGCCAATTACCCCTCCGTGTGGACCGTTTCGATATTTTATGGTGCTCATTGATGCATCAACACGTTGGTCACATGTCAGTCTTTTATCGACTAGAAATTTTGCATTTGCAAATCTCCTTGCTCAAATTATTTGTTTGAGATCACAATTTCCGGATTATTCGATAAAGAAAATCCGACTTGATAATGCAGGAGAATTTACATCCCAATCTTTTAATGACTATTGCATGTCAATTGGGATTGATGTGGAACATCCAGTTCCACATGTACATACACAAAATGGTCTTGCCGAATCCTTAATTAAGCGATTACAATTAATTGCTAAACCATTATTGATGAAATCCAGATTACCATCATCTGCATGGGGATATGCTATAATGCATGCTGCAAATTTAGGATGTTTTTACTTGGACTGTAATTTGTCCCAGACCAGACCAGACCAGTCCAGACCAGACCAGACCAGACTTGGATAGTTATAAAAATACAAAGAAACCAGACCTTACCAGACCAGACCAGACCAGTTCAGACCAGACCAGAACAGATCAGACCAGACCAGACCAACCCAGCAAATTACAGTCCAAGTAAAAACATCCTTAATTCGGCTTAGGCCAACGGCATATCATAAATTTTCCCCATTACAATTAATATCTGGTAAAGAACCAAATATATCACACCTAAAAATATTTGGTTGTTCTGTGTATGTACCAATTGCTCCACCTTATCGTACTAAAATGGGTCCTCAAAGAAGGCTGGGAATTTATGTTGGTTTTAAATCACCCTCAATTATTAATTATCTAGAACCTATGACCGGTGACTTATTCACCGCGCGGTTCGATGACTGTCATTTTGATGAGACAGTATTCCCAGCCTTAGGGGGAGATATTAAAGAAATGGACCCACGTACGAAAGATATTACTTGGAATGCAACAAATTTATCTTTTCTTGATTCTCGCACAAATGCTTGTGAACAAGAAATTCAAAAGATTATTCATTTACAAAATGTTGCAAACCAATTGCCTGATGCTTTCACATACTCAAAGAAAGTGACAAAGTCACATGTTCCAGCTATGAATGCTCCTTCTCGAATAGAAATTCCTGCGGAGATTAGCGAAAGAACACTTGCTAATGAATCTATGATACGTAAAAAACGTGGTAGACCACTTGGTTCAAGAGATTTGAAACCAAGAAAATTTAAACAGCAAGTTGTAATTTGTGATGCCAAAGAAGTTCAACCTTCTCAAGAAGAAAATGAACATTTTGAAAATATCGGCCTTGAAGATAACATCAATAATAATGATACCTCAAAAGAAGATCCAATCACCTTCGAAGAGGTAAATATTCCAGATAAAGATAGAAACGTCGATAATTTTGAAATTTCAATTAATTACGTTTCTAATGGAATACAATGGAATAGAAATGATATTGATGTTAATGATATATTTTCATATGCCATCGCCACAGATATAATGAATGAACACGATGACAATGAGCCTAAATCTATTGACGAATGTTGTCGTAGAAATGATTGGCCAAAATGGAATGAAGCAATTCAGGTAGAATTAAAATCGCTAGAAAAGCGTAATGTTTTTGGACCAATTGTCCATACACCAAAAGGCGTAAAACCTGTCGGTTTTAAATGGGTTTTTGTGCGTAAACGCAACGAGAAAAATGAAAATCGTTAGATACAAAGCCCGACTTGTTGCCCAAGGTTTTTCTCAAATGCCAAGAATCGATTATGATGAGACATATTCTCCAGTAGTTGATGCTACAACTTTAAGATTTTTAATTGGCATGTCTGTTTTTGAAAGGCTGCAAATGCGCCTAATGGATGTGGTGACCGCATATTTATACGGTTCACTCGATACAGACATATATATATGAGAATTCCTGGAGGCTTTAAAATACCTGATGCTTATAGCTCGAAATCTCGAGATTTATTTTCCATAAAATTGCAAAAGTCATTATATGGATTAAAACAATCTGGACGCATGTGGTATAACCGTCTCAGTGAATATTTGATTAAAGAAGGGTATAAAAATGATCCTATTAGTCCATGTGTTTTCATTCAGCGATCCGAATCAGGATTCGCCATAATTGCAGTATATGTTGATGATTTGAATATAATCGGAACTCCTAATGAAATTGAAAATACTGCAAAATATCTCATGAAAGAATTTGAAATGAAAGACCTTGGGAGAACAAAATTTTGTCTCGGCATTCAAATTGAGCATTTGAGAAATGGTATTTTCATCCACCAATCAAATTATACCGAGAAACTTTTGAAGCGATTTTACATGGATAAAGCACATCCGCTCAATTCTCCAATGGTGGTTCGATCTCTCAATGTGCATGATGATCCTTTCCGACCTTGTGAAGATGATGAAGAAATTCTTGGTCCCGAAATACCATATTTGAGTGCTATTGGAGCATTAATGTATTTGGCTAATAATACTCGACCAGATATTGCTTTTTCTGTAAATTTATTAGCCAGGTAAAGTTCTTCCCCAACAAGAAGGCATTGGAATGGTGTCAAACATATATTCCGATATCTTAATGGTACAATCGATCTTGGATTGTATTTCAAGAATGGTGCAAATGCCACTTTAATTTGCTACGCGGATGCAGGATACTTGTCTGATCCACAAAAGGCAAAATCACAAACAGGATATTTATTCACCTATGGTGATACCGCTATATCATGGAGATCAATGAAGCAAACATTAACTGCAACATCATCAAATCATGCAGAATTAATTGCTCTTTATGAAGCAGGTCGTGAGTGTGTCTGGTTGAGATCAATGATCCAGCACATACAAAATGAATGCGGTATAAAATCTTTTACTTCTAATCCTACTGTGATTTATGAAGATAATACAGCATGTATAGCTCAGATCAAAGGAGGTTACATCAAAGGGGACAGAACGAAGCATATAGCACCAAAACTTTTCTCCACACATGATCTTGAGAAAGACGGAACGGTTGATGTCAAACAAATCAAGTCATGCGACAACCCTGCTGATTTGTTCACAAAGTCATTGGCACCGAAGAAATTTGAAGAACTGGTCCATAAAATTGGAATGTATCGTCTTCGAGATATATGTTAAATTGAGGGGGAGTAATATAATGCACTGCACTCTTTTTCCCTTCGTCAGGTTTTTATCCCACTGGGTTTTTCTTGACAAAGGTTTTTAACGAGACAGTACATTATAATACTATGAAACTAATACCCCAGAATAATTAGAAGATGACCATTCAAGGGGGAGTGTTGAAATATATTGAATAGTCATATTCCAACTATTCATGATCAGGAACAATTATCATCATTGTTAATATAAATAAGAAATCATAATTATGATTTCTAGATGGTAATTGTATGGCTCACAATTAGCCCCTGATCTAGACATAATTACATTTTCTCCTATAAATAGGAACATTCTTCTTCATTGTAAAGACACCATTATCACACTTCTAATAACATCTTTCTCACTAAGTATTCAGACTATACTTTCTCTCCCTGATCTTCTACTTATTTCCTTCCATTTTATAACATCACCTTTTTTGTTTTACCAATTTGTCAAATTGACCAATTTTTTTTACCAATTTGGCAAGACAACTTTTTTTCCCCAATCTGGTAATTTACCAAGGAGCGGGAGACGGAGTGAATGGCCGAAGGCCGGCGTGAAGCTAAGGAGAGGGGGGAGGGGCGAACTGCGATTCTGATTTCTACTGGACTGCTAAAGTGCGAAAGGCCGAAGGGCGTTGCCGCGTAGCCAGCGAGACGAGCGACGAGCTGAGTCAGCCGACGAATCTCCGTCTCCTTCCCATCCGCAATTGACGAGCAGGCAGAGCGAGAGCCGCTGCTGGGGACTGCAGTTCTTCGTTTGTTTTCTTCTTCCCATCAGCAAATCGACGACTCCACTACTCTAGGTAAGTCCCCCACTCCTCCGTAACAAATAAGAAGTAAACTTATAATTTATTAATGTTTTCATTATTAATTTTTTATGTAATTTACGAGTTTGTGTGAATATGTGATTTTAATCATTTCTTAGGACCATTGGGGAATAGGGATTTAGGGTTTTGGCCTACTAACCTATGATATGAATTGATGAAATCATGAAATTTAACAAATTAGGTTGTTATGAGACTTGAAAGTCAAAGAGCTTTTGGCTGAATTGAAATGGATATCCAGAATTGATTTTTTTACTTAATTTTTTTCTTCCTTTTTTAGATATTTAAATTTTAAACAGTTTTGAAATAGCGGACCGCTACCGCTATAGTGGCCGCTATAATATGGTGACAAGAAGTAAAGAATTTATTATTGAGCATATTATACTACAAAAAATTACAATGTATGGGGATTTTTTATGAAGTTAGAATCAGGCTCGAGTTTAGGTAGGCCCATTTGATTTAACTGTTTCCTCTTGATACATCACTTGATGCAGAGATATGGCTTCAAGTTCGAATTCAGATTCTGATGAACTTTCAGCCAATGCTTCTTCCCTTCCGTAAGCCTCATCTTTCTTGATTTTTCTCATTTTGTTGTGTTTCTAACGTTGTGCATTTTTCTAAGTTTCAGAGCAAAAAGCGTATACAAAGACCCAGACGATGGCCGCCAACGGTTCTTGCTTGAATTGGAATTCATTCAATGTCTTGCCAATCCCACCTACATTCACTGTATGTTTACTTCTCTCGGTCTGCCACACACGTACATATCTATTGCAACGAGTTTGGGAGTGGTAGATATTAGGGTATTTAGATTGCTCGGTTGTTAGTTATGTGCACCTGATTTTTGGGTAGAAATTCTTGGATTTATTTGTGGCATAGGAAGACTGGGAACTGTTTCTTATATAGCTATTATGCTATTTTATAAGTGAGAGTATACACTTCGTCTAAATTCAGAGGGACAAGTTTCTGGTCCTATGTAGTTAGGAAGAAAATAACTTCCTCCACAACAAAATCAGTTCTATGTGAATCTTTTCGTCTTGGTGTTTATGTTAAATTGGTTTATGCAGATTTGGCTCAGAATAGATATTTTGAAGATGAAGCATTTATTGGATACTTGAAATACCTCCAGTACTGGCAACGTCCTGAGTACATAAAGTTTATAATGTGAGCCTTAACACTTTAAGCTGCTATGGTTTTAGTTCAGAGAATTCTCCAATTGCGCTAATAGATATGTTTGGTTTTATTTTGTTTAGATTCTTATCATTTTCTGTGTTTTTGTGGACCTATCATATAGTCCATATTAGTACTAAACGTGACCTTTTCAAACTTAAATTGGTGCTTGTCAGGTACCCACATTGTCTCTTTTTTCTCGAGATGCTCCAAAATCCCACATTTCGGAGTGCTATGGCACATCCAGCCAACAAGGTAGTTTTTTTGTTACGGAGTATTACAATATTTTTCTATCAGAGCATGTGAGGTCTAAATCCCATTGCTCTATTGCTTATGGTGTTTTCTGAGACGTGAGAACCAAAGGAAACATGAGCTGCTCCAAATCATGCACAACGATATTATTACTTAATTGTGTCTCCATTAATAGGCATTGAGCAGACCAAAATTTCTTTTGATTTAATTAAAACATGCAGTTAAAGTTGTCATTGCAGGATTGTTAGTAGAGTTTGTTCCAACTTATTCTCTCAAACTGTTCTCCTGTATGGTCTACTCAATCGTAATAAATTACTCCCTCCGTCCCATTGGACTTTGCCAACTTTCCTTTTTTGGTTGTCCCAAAAAACTTTGCCACTTTCCTATTAAAGCAACTAATTTGCCACAACCTTGAGAAGTATGTTATTATTATGATTAGGGATCTTGTGAAAGCTACATAAGTATCCCTGTTAATCAAAGCTTCTTAATAACCTCTGAATGATTAAATATTGTGTGTCTTTACTAGATTGGACACCGATCAATTCTACCTCAGGCTCATTCTGAAACTCTCTTCTCTCAAATCATATAATTGATTGTCCCTATCTGCTCTACTGCTCTTTTATTTTCTACCTCTAGACTTTGAACAAGATGTCAAGACCACTACCATGCCCATAAGTCCATAACATAAAGTTTGATGCACTCACCTTGAATATATTTACTTGCGTATACTTAAACCATTTATCTTATTCAATCATAGATCCAGTCATTCCTATTAACTTTACCTCTGTTTCACCTTCTCGTTCTAGACCTTGAACGAGATCCCTACCATGCTTGTAAAATGATGTTTGACACATTTACGTTTTATGTATTTACATGTACATACTTCAACCTTTTTTTGTCAATGGATCCATCTTTCGAATTTCCCTTGGCCCAAAACTTTTTAACTTTAAGTCACTCAATAACCTCCTGTTAACAAGTTCAGAATTTGTTGGATTACTTTGTTTTATCCGGACTGATGTCTTTATCGTGTCTTAATTTAGGAATTGGCACATAGGCAGCAATTCTATTTTTGGAAGAACTATCGAAACAACAGGTTGAAGCACATCTTACCAAGGCCACTTCCTGAACCTCCAAGTGCACAAGCAACTTCTGCTCCACCTCTTATGATTTTACCATCAACTGCGCCCCCCACAGCTACAGTAGGTCCCGTTCCTTCTCCAGCTACTGCTTCATCTCTCTCTACAACGCAATATGCTACCCACCCTGGGTTGTCTTCTATTGCTAAAAATGATACAAGGAACCCTGCTCTTGAAAGAAGAAAGAGAAAGTATGTTCCCTGTGATTTTATATTCTCTTAATGTGCTGGAAGCTGATTGTGTGTTAAATGATTCGACATTTTTCAATGTCTATATGTTTACAGAAAAGACGGGTGATCAGTGATGTCACTGACATGTATGTGATTATTGACGGAGATAATACATGTCAAGGTAAATTCTCTTGCACAAGCTGATTCTGTTAAAGTTAGGCTTTTTTAATGGTACTCACCTTTGACCTTCCATGATTAAAGAAATAAATTTCCTACTTAGAGTAAGTTTCACTTTGTAACTGTCTAACTGATAAGACATGATCTAAGTTTTGTAGTGAATGTGAATGCATAAAATGGCTTATCCCCTTCACCATCCATATTGCTTACATAATCTTTTATTTCTGCTTCTATAGTTTCATAGTTACTTTTTTGGCTGAAAAAGAAGAAGCAATGTTTCCCATAATCTTTTTTACATATATCATCCAATTTATTGATTGAAAAAAGAGAAATACTTATTTAGGTAATCACATAATCAGTTATTGGACCAAGTCATATCTGCGAATTCAGCACATTCACTTTTTCTAGTCAACTTGTTAAAAAATCAACTCACGAAACAACTCCGAACTCCCTGGCCTTCAGTTGTGATGGTTTGCAAAGTTGCAAACATAAAACAAAGTGCTCCACAAGCTTGTTTTTTGTTGAGTTTGTTGACAAAAGTAGTTCAGAGGTTTCTTGCTAGCTAAAATGATTGAAATAAAGAGGAGAAACAGTGATCCTTTCATCCTTAAGATTTTTTTTACCAATTTATTAAAAATAAAGATTTTAACTTGATTACACTCCCAATCATTCAATCTTGACATTCAAGAAAAATCGGGACATTTAACCATTCTATCTCATTTAGGTAAAGAAAAGGTTCCCCACCAAACTGTCCCAAAAGTCTTATTTTATGTGCAGACATGGCCTTCCCTTTATTTGATTTTTTAAATGTCTGATTGTATTGACAATGATTTTGTCAATATAGACTTCTAGAACAAGTGCTTCGTTTTCTTTTCATTTGTAGGATAACATTTATTCTATTTAAGTTCCAATCTTAGACACAGTGTACAACACCATCCTAATGGCTCGACATAATAATTTGCAGGTGTAAAACTTTGTATGCGGCTTGCTGCCACTGAAAGACCAAACATGTGGAATGAAGACCCTAACACAATTCAAAATATAGAATTCTCTTCATGCTATGACTGTACCCAACTGTTATCCAGCTTAGTTTCAGGTCAAAGTTCTTAAAGAGTACTAGTGTACTTTCTTATGAGCAAAATGTTACCCCAGAATAAATATCAGGGGTTTGTAACATTCAGGGAAAGATAGCTTGTTGGTTCTGTTTTGATTTTTAAAGTAAAAACAAATTCAGATCTTATTCAGTACCTGAGAATGTCCATAGAGATGAGCAATAGAAAAAGGGAAGTGATGTGTGGGGGTTGCAAAATGTGTTGGAGACAAGCATTCATCAGGTAAAAGTATCTTATGGCGCCTTCAGATAAGGTAGATTAATCACCAAACGCTCAAAAAGTGCTCTTGGCATTTCAGCCCATATACTGCACAAAAATTTTACAGATTTTTTTCCTGTTAGCGTGGTACTCTTCTATTGTTTCATGTCAACTCGTATATACTTTCAGGAAAATTGTGCCCAAAAATACTCTTATATACTAGCAGGATTTGAAGAAAGGTGAAACATTCACTTGAGATTTTGGTCCAAGTAATATATATTCCAGGGCTTGTGAACTGCCCATGTTGAAATGTCGTGCTTTCAAAATGATAATTAAAGATAGGAAAAACTGTCAAATAAGTCTTCGTACTATTGTCAAAAAGTCAATTAAGTACTAATAGTTATTGGTGAGTCAATTAAGTCCTCAAAGTCTTAAAAAACACCAATCATTCCATTTAACCGGTTGGGAGCCGGTTAACGGTTAAACGTGTACACATGGTGGTACACATAATTTTTTTTCCCTTTTTTGATTTTCTTTTCTTTCTTCCTCTTCTCTCTTTCTTTCTTCTTCCCCGGGCTTCTTCTTCCCTGTTCTTTACCCGCAAATATTTTTGCATTTTTTCCTTGTTTATTTCATTCTCTTTCTTTCTAATTCTATTTCCTCCCACAAAAGATCATCAACCACTGCCGCTCAAGTATGGATGGACCCGGGCCGGTTCGGGCCCGGTTCGGGCCTAGGCCCGGCCGGGCCTCGGGTCTGTTTTGTTGGGCCCGAGCCCGAACCGGTGGCCACCGGTTCCGTGTCCGGTTCCGGGCCGGGCCGGGCCGGTCGGGCCACCCGGTTTAATTTTTTTTTTTTTTCCTTTCTTCCCCCACCCCCCCCACCCCCACCCCCCCCAAACCCCCCCAAACCGGCCTAAACAGATAGCCCAAGCCCAACAGCCCAAAACAAATGAAAAAATTAAAAAAAAAAAATAGATTTGGCCCGGACCCGGACCCGGACCCGAACCGGCCGGGCCGGGCCGTCAAAACCATGAACCGAGCCCGGAACCGCCCCACCCCCGGGCCTCCGGCCCGAACCGGACCCGGACCCGGATAACCGGGCCGGGCCGGGCCCGCACAGTAGCGGGTCGGGCCGGTCCCGGGCCGGGCGGCCCGAACTGAGGCCATGCCTATGCTCAAGTCTTCCTCATCCGCCACTGGGGTCGGCTGTCGTCCACAAAAACGCAACTTTTCAAACCGTCGGTTAGCCAGTAGATCTGAATTTCTCGAACCACTGTCATGCGTCACTCTTCACCAGCAATTTCTTCAATCTACCGCTCATCGTCCATAGCCAAATATTACCTAGTCACCGTTGTACATCGCCCATCTCCCATGTCTTCCTCAATCGTCTCATGTTGGACAAAACGTCTCCATCCGCCACCGCATGCCGCATGCCGCATGCCGCACACTCAAAGAAAAACAATCGGAATTCGGGAAGAATGGAAGAAAGAAAAAAAAGAAAGTGGAAAAGAAAGAAATTGGGGGAGGCAAAAGAAATGCAACCGATATGAGACGATTGAGTGTTTTTTGGAGATATCCACATGGGCGTGCAGATATCTCCAACCGACTAAATGGAAGAATTGAGTGTTTTTTAACACTTCATGGACTTAATTGACTCAGCGATAAGTGCGGGGACCCAATTGACTTTTTAGCAATAGTACGGGGACCTAATTGACAATTTTCCGTAATTGACAGTTTTCAATTACTGGTTATTGGGGGTTGACTCGTGCTGGTTCCGGTCCAGTTATGATTCTGGAGCGGTTGGTTCCTAGACCAAGAGCACGGTCTCTTGTGACTGTTTAGATTTCGATTCCGGTCCGATTGTGCTCTTTTAAAAAAAAATAACTAGAACATTCCAATTTCTTTTTGGAGGGATCAAAATTGTACCGGGGTTGGATGAGTTATAGCGGATGAGCATCATACTCCCACATAAAATGGTGTCATTTAGATTTAAGCTTTAATTTTGAAAAAAATCGCGTGAATAGTACCCTTACATTTGTCATTTGGATGTAAATCATTTGTATGAAATGTAATTCGCGTTATTGTGAAATGTGAATCCAATGTATTCAAATGTAACTCACGCATTGGAATGTAACTTGTTTTATTCTCTCAAGTGGTATAAAATGAAACATACACTGAAATGTAGATTATGCGCTGGAAGATGTAACTATACGCAAGTAGCAATGTAACTCGAGAGTATCTGTAATGTAACTTGACAAAAGTAGCAAATGTATGCGGTGTTTGGTAGAACGTAAACTAAATACTTTGCAGGCGAAGTGTAAGGACGTAAAATGCTTACACTGTTTGGTTTGATTATTTAATATAAACTGTAGGTCACTTTTTAAAAATATTTCGCACTGTATCATACTACCATGTAAAGTATTTTACGTGGGGGTGATAAATACATTGCATGCCTTTTATGAAGCTTTACAACGACTTTGCGTGCAATTTAAAAATAAAATACACATCTAGCCAAACAATGTAATCTATCTTATATGCAAAATTATAGTTTCTCTATACTTTGCATGCAATCACTTCGCGTGCAAAGATTTAACGTGTAAATAACCAAACGAGACCTAAATCGCATAAATTAGAATGTAACTTAGGCCACTTTGAAATGTAAATCATATATTCATATACACAAATATTCCGGTCAGGAATTTCCTGACCGGAGCCCTGTCCGGCCTCCTCCATTTGGGGGCCTTCCCGGTGATATTTTTTGCTCAAAATTTTTCTGTATGTTCCTCACCAAGTCTAGTTCATCCATACCAAATTCGAGCAAGAAATTCAATCGAGAAGGTCGTCAAATGATTTTTGCAAGTTAACTGGTCCGGAAAATATCTAAAATAGTTTACAATTCAGAGATACAATTCGGAAAAAAACTCTGAGGGCCTGTTTACTAACAGAAATATTTTCCAGTTTTCCAGAAAACTGGAAAACTGGAAAACAGAAAACAGGAAACGTGTTTACCAAAGAAATTCCTGGAAAACTGGAGAAAGGAAAAAAGAAAAACGCGTTTACCAAATCGTTTTCCAAAACGGAAAAAATGAAACATGTTTCTCTTTTCCTTAATGATTTAGAGAAGTGACTTTTACTACTTTTCCAAATTTGGAAAACGCAGATGCTCCAGTGCCTTTGCAATGAATTTGCATACTTACACCTAGTGGTGGGTCCGGTCCCGCTCTGATGTCGATTTCATTCCAGCACCTCCATTCTCGTACCTTACCCCTTACCCCTACCCTACCCTACCCACCCTACCCCCACCCCGCCTACCCATTTTTCCCTACAATGACCTTACCCCACCCCCACCACATGCCCCGACCTCGGCCCCACCCCGATCCACCCTACCCTACCGCCACCCCCCTACCACCTCGACCCCACCTTGATCCACCCTACCCTACCGCCACCCCTACCACCTCGACCCCACCCCGACCCACCCTACCCCCACCCCTCATATATTACCATTTACCCCTACCTTACCCCTTACCACATGCCTCCTACCTCGGCCCCACCCCACCGCCATCCTACCCCCCACCCCCGCACCGCCATCCTACCCCCACCCCCACCCTACCCTACCTCGGCCTCACCCGGATCCCGGGCCCACCCTACCGCCATCCTATCCCAACTCCCTACCCTACCCCTACCTACCCCAACCCCAAACCCTACCCACTACCCCCCACCCTTACCGCCATCCTACCCCTTCCCTACCCCAGCCCCACCCTGGTCCCGACCCCACCCTACCGCCATCCTATCCCAACTCCCTACCCTACCCCTACCTTACCCCAACCCCAAACCCCACCCACTACCCCCACCCTTACCGCCATCCTACCCCCACCCTACCCCTTCCCTACCCCGGCCCCACCCTTGGTCCCGACCCCACCCTGCCGCCATCCTATCCCAACTCCCTACCCTACCCCTACCTTATCTCTATTAGTAAACCCCTGAATTTTTTAAGTATCGTGAATTCGTGATTCGTTTTTGCATACTACAAGCATGAGCTCAGAAAAAGAAAAAGGAAAACCCTAGTCCGAGGAAGATCTGCCCTGGCCAAGGCATACTTGCTGGTTTTCCCCCCACATCCATCGATTCCCTTCATCTGTCACCCTTTCCACAGAAAATAGCCACCAAAAGCCCATCAATTCGTCGCAACCTGACGATCAATCGCCGCCGGATTCATATCGTCACTGCCGGAAAAATTCCACCCTAAGCGAAGCCGTTCCAGGGCCCTTGTCGTGATTCCACGTGGAGTCTCGTACCCGTATTTGGCGTGACCGTGCTTTGCAGCCTCCAGTTTTTGGAGGAGTGCCCATTTTTCATCTGATTGTTCCAATTCCAATGAATGGTTCACCATCTGAGATGGTTATGACCTGCCAGAGTACTGGGGATATTGGTATTCCTTCACAGCCCTGTGAAGTTGGTGCTACTTCACACGATGACAAAAGCTGCCCTGCATATGCTTTGCCTGCACAGGTCAATGGATGGATGTATGTTAATCAAGAAGGTCAGATGTGTGGACCATACATACAGGAACAGTTGTATGAAGGGTTGTCCACTGGTTTCTTGCCAGACGAGCTTCCTGTATATCCCATATTTAACGGGACACTTGCTAATCCAGTCCCCCTGAAGTACTTCAATCAGTTCCCAGATCATGTTGCCACAGGCTTTGCATATTTAAACCCAGTAGCCTCTGGTTTGAGTGGTCGTGGCTTTCAATCGAAGGCAGATTATTCTGAAATACCCATTCCAAACCAGCATATTCTCACATCTGGTTCTGTCACGACACCACATTTGCATCTGGTATTCTCCCTCTTAACCTTGAAATGACTGTTCTTTTCATATGAATGCTTGCTTGCAGTATACTGTATACATTGCCATTTCTAAATGTGTCTGTTGGAACTAATTAAATTCTATTTCTTTGTTTTGCATACTATGGAATTGAATACTCTTCTTGTTACAAGTACGTACTTATACAACATAAGATATCTTACTCATACAGTTTCTTTTTCCCAAGTCTTTGGAACAGGGAGGTGGAGAATCTTGTTGGCTCTTTGATGATGATGAGGGGACGAAACATGGACCACACTCTCTTGTAGATCTGTACACATGGTTTCGCTATGGATACATTAGGGATTCAATAATGGTTAGTTGTCTGACCGATGAATTATTATTATTGATTTCACTAAGCCATATTTCTTCTGTGGGATTACTACATATTCTTCATCCCTTTTCTGTTTTCTTAATGTATTTCTTTTATCAATTTCCCCCCTTTTTAATGAAATGAAAAATGTTCTCACGTTCATATTTAACACATTTGTAGAAAGTTGTTTCATTTTATCACCGGTTGCGGTTATTAGAATTCCCCCAAATGTTGCCCAGGTCACTTCATTCTCCAAATTTTATATGATTTTCCTCGTTTATTTGGCTAAATGGGACTATTTTTATCTGGGAAAAGATATGTTAGAGTTATTTGCTGCATCTTAAAGGGATTTTTCCTGTTTGAAGAGGCAGTGGATTCAATCTTCAAGTGAAGGAGAGTAGCAAAAAACTACATTTTCATGTCCTGATTGATCTTAGATTTGTTCATTATGAAAACTACATACCTAAAAGGGACATTTTTTTGGTATATAGAAGTTATGTTTGTTGAGAAACTGTCCATCTTTATAGCCTCAGTGTAGAAGTCCCGCAGTTACACAACCAGAAAAGAAAGAGATTACACAGGAAGAGAGATTTCATCTATTGACTAGTAATTTGTAATACAAAAAATGTAAATGTTGTTTCTGGGGAAACATGTATTTATTTTTATTAACAGGTAGCTACTTGCGTTTCTCTCTCAAAGTGTTACATCAAGTTAAGTTTTATGCTTTAAGAGTTTGGGGGAGCGTTTTGGTACAGCTCATAGCCCTCATTGTTCTCTACATTAAAAGCAAGAAGTTACAAAGTGCTACATTTTTTAGCGGTTTGTGTGTTTAAAAAAAGGATAAAAATTGACACGCCACAAAACCATTTATTGTGCAATCATATTGTACAAATTACATATTTTAAAATTCCTCACTTTATCAAATTTTCAAATCATATATCCAATATGTCATTATCATATACTTCATCCAATCTTTTTAGTTGCACCACTATAACTTTAACACTTTCTAACACACAAAATTAATATATTTACATGACTATTAACAAATATTATAAAATTATTACAATAGGAAATTTACATTGAGGCAATTTTTTGATATTATTTTGTTAATACATTAACCAATAAAATATAATCAAAGCAGAGTATGTGAACAGAATAAGTTTGTATATAATCAAAATGGTGCAATTAATAAAGAAATGAGGTAGTATATATTATGTCATGACAATGTGCATAAGTGACAGTGTTCAATGGTGGGGATAGAGGCGTAGCAAGCGCTGTATATTGGGCTGGGCCAGTAGAAGTTTTTTGTTTGGGGAAAATTTTACTCGAACTTTTTACCCTAATAATCTAAAGAAATTGAAATTGGGGTGGGCTGGGGCCTAGCACGCCCCCTACATACACCCTTGGATGGCGATAATGTTCGGTAGTGCTGCGATGGTTTGAGATGGTAGTAACGACAATAGGAGGTGACAATGGTCGATGTTTATGCCGGTACTGACAATGGTTGCTAGTTGCTACCGATGACTGTGGCCTATGATATGGTTGATTCAATATACGGACTTTTTAAATTCTTTCAATCAACATAATGGAAGTTTGGTTTATATGAAAGTCATAGCAATACCATTTCGAAAACCTTGAACATGCATTACCGAAATTTGATAAACTCACAAAGTTATGGTAATCGGTACATATACAAGAAGTTGGCAATGTCAAATTTAGTATACCAAAATTCATACATGATATTTGCATGCATACCAAAACACAGAAAAATCAACATTTTAACATCCTAATCTCATTGCACGGATGATGCCAGTGATTACTAGTGATAGGCTATGTTGCACTGATACTTCACCTCGATGCCGTATCCGCGTATCCGATACGTATCCGTATCCGATACTCACCAATATGCGTCCTGTACGTATTGGGTCCGTATCCGTAATTTAATAAAAGTATCGGACTTGATTTTAAAAATATCGATACTTCCGATACCCGTATCTGTGAACCGATACGCGTATCCGAACCTATAACCCTTCATTTGATACACGGCATGACGAAAATTCAGTAGCCGCCCAAGCGACCACAACATTTGGAACATTGATAAAGATGATTTTGGGGGTATGGAAAATAACAGAATACTATAATTTGTCATTTCATTGCTTGATGAGCTTTAATTGAAACGGCATCGAGGTGAAGTATCGGTGCAACATCGAGGTGAACTCTATTTGCAAATTTCATCACCGGAAGACTTAGATGTAAATGCAAATAGAGAACCAAAAATGTTATTTGAATTTAAATCAAAATATCAATACTTTAGTTTTTTTAGACTAATCTTTGAAACTTTATTATAATAGTTAATTTTTTGTACTATTATTATTTTATTTATGAACCCCTGAATCAGGGTAGTCAAAAGCGCGCGCCTTGTCGCTTAAGCGCACCAGGCGAGGCGCTATAGAGGTGCAGCGCCTTATACTCTTCCAGGCGAGGCTGTCTGACTGAGGCGCAATATAAGCGCAAGAAGCGCACGAAGCGCAAGAGGCGCAGAAGCGCTAGAAGCGCACGCCTGACCGGTAAAGGGTTCTAAATTTTTTAAAATAAGATTTGGGCCTATTTTAAATAAACCCATATCAATAATAAGATATAGCCCATCCAACTAATAGGGGAAAACAACTTAAACGGTTAAACCTTGTTAAAACCCTTCTTAGTGAATGTATTAAGGAGTCTACTAAACTTAGAAAGTTTTCACCGTAGCATTCTTATTTCCTGTGTTCAACCCACAACCTACACAACATGCACAAGGTAACATTTTCCTCCCATATGTTCCATCTTCTTTCTGGTCTTTTTAATTTCTTCTTTTCTTATTTTTTAATTTTGCCTTTTGAATGTAAAATCAACATCTTCTTTTTTTATTTTTATCTTATCGTTTAAAAGTTTATATCTTTATCTTTTCTCTTTCTTTTATCTGTTATTTTCTTGTTTTGTTTTATACTTTATCTCCTAACAAGTAATGATTTTCTTCTTTTAGTTATGTTTGTTCCTTTTTCTAACAAGTTTTATAGTAACTTCTCCCTCACACCACCAAACAAGATATGTGCTCTTATAGTATATTTCTATGTATATAATAAAGTACTAGTATATTACTATGTATATAATTCTCTATATTACTCATAATAATGTATTAATACTCTGCATTACTCTATATTACTCACAGCACTAGTATATTGTTATATGTATATAACAAAGTAATAGTACTCAGTATTACTCTATATCACCCACAACATTAGTATATTGCTTTGTATATAATAGTCATAATACTCTGTATTACTTTATGTTACTCACAACATTAGTATATTGCTATGTTATTAATAAAGTAATAGTACTATGTAGGCTCACAAGTTTAACAAGGGGAAATAGGCTCCAATTTGATTGTCTTTCATTTATAGTTTTAGTATTAAAGCCATGAATTCTAAATTTGGTGTTTTATTTTTTGTGAATCATGACTTTATTTTGGTGAATCCTAAATTTTATATGCATTTGGTTCAATATGATGTTACATACATCATATTTGGTAAGTATAGAATAGTATATGTGATTTTATCTAAGTAATGCGCTTCACCCGAGTCAGGCGAGCGCTTTTTTGCGCCTTGCGCCTCAGGCGCTAGAAGACCCCTAGCGCTTCAGGTGCGCCTTTCGACTTTGACTACTTTGCCGGCCTGAATGATTTATATTTGCAAATTATACCCTATATTTTTATTATTTATAAATATACCCCCGTACTCGTATCCTATAATTTTTCAAAGTGCCGTATCGCCGTACCCGTATCCGCGTATCCGAGTATCGGCGTATCCGTATCCGTGCAACATAGGTGATAGGTGCAGTTATTAACATTCTGACTCACTAATGAAGTAATGATTGGCAATAGTTATTAAAATTTGGTCAATCAATAATAGCTATAGGAATATAGTTAATGGTAGCAGCAGGTGTGACAAAAGTAGAGAGTGTGTTGGAAATTTAGAATTGGTTCCGGTCATGAGGGTGGGTGAGAGATCCATGATTGTTATATTGTGGCGGTTATTTTTACTATCATAGTTAAATGAAAATATATACGTGTATTTTAAACTTAAAGGATTTATTTTTTCAAAAATGATTTTTATCCATCTATAATGTGTGCTTATTTCTTCAATGAGTCTGTCCTATGTACTACTTGTGCCTTCACTCGGTAATTTGTAGTTCATCTGAGCAAGAAATATGATCTGTTCTTTTTGTGCTGTCCCAAAAGTTCTCTGTTTTCAGGAATTGTGTTTTTTACAGATTCTTCCTTTGTAAATAAACCTCAACCACACAATTTCATTGCTTTAAAAATAGTGCGAAAAGCAAAAAAGGTCAATATGGGATGGAAGGAATTTATTGCCAATCATATCATTTTGTTTCTGATATAGATTTTGCTCCTGGAAGCTAGCTGTTTTATGTTACATCACAAGCACTATTTCTTCATTTGATTGTATAATATGGAATGCTGCCGCTTTGACATGATCTTCAATCATGCATTTTGCAGGTGTATCATTCTGATAATAAATTTAAACCTTCTACATTACAATCTTTATTAAGTACCTGGGTGGAAGCAGTACCTAGAGATGCCTCATTGTCAAGTGTCATTATGCGTAAGGATGACATGTCTTTTCAAGGTTTTGTGACTGAGGTGTCTGAAGAACTATGTTTACAGCTACACTCAGGAATCATGAAAGCAGCTCGTAGAACTGTGCTAGAGAAGATCATTAGTCAAATAATTTCAGTGTGTGTTGCAACGAATGAAGCTGATAAGCATCTTAGGCAAGAAACTCTCAATAAAAATGTCAACTCATCTTCAGAGGATAACATAACGGTAATGAAATTCATAGTTAGATAGAATGAGTGTTACATGTAAAGAAGTGTTGGATGTCATTGTATTTGCTCATTTAACTTGCTTGTATCTTTGTTCAAACATTATTGATCAGCATAAGGGTGGTAAAAGTATTGTCCCTGAGAGCAGACCAGAAGCTTCTGTAACTGATTGGCAGAGAACTTGTCTGGATGAGGTCGCTGTAGTGTCTTCACAATGCACAAAGTCTGTTGGAAGTTATCAGAATTTTTGTGCTGCACATTTATTGGTCTGCAGAATACTTTATGAGTCATGCATGCAAGTAATGTGGAATGCTGTCTGTTATGACCTCACAGCAGATTATGCATCTGCATGGAGAAAGAGAAAGCGCTGGTCTGATCCCCGGGATATGGTGAAATCAAGTACATTTTTGGATTCTTCACTTGTCCGATACCCAGATCCACATACTGAAGCTGTAAGTGCCTCAATATGTTGTACGTAGTAATATTTTATGAGCCCTTGTTTCTTACCTTATGCTTGATCTATTCATCTATTGTTTACAGTTACCACGAGTTGAATCCTCTGGTCATGACATTGATTGCCCACCAGGTTTTGAGCAGGTGATAGAGATACATGCCATGACTTGATTTTATCTTCACTCGTCTCTGTAGCTAATTCTCAATCTGTCGTTATCAACTACAGCAAGGAAACTCTGGTTGTGAAATCGATTACCCCCCTGGTTATGAACAGGCTATGGAGATACGGGATGTACGTTCAATTTCACGACCACAGTATTTGCCTACTGCTGATGAAAAAGTATCATGTAAAGGCAGCATCTTATTAGAGAACAAATTTTCTGATGAAATAGGATCTATCCATGAGAGCGTATTGAATGATCTGCATCTCTCTGTCAAAATCACATTGGAAAATCATTTCATGGACCTCTTGGATGAGGAAGTGGGTAAAATTGCTGATGACTGCTCAAAGGATGTCCAGATGAATAAGGTGCTAAATACTCAAATTTAGCCAATCCTGAAATGTCAAACTTCCATGCCTTCTTACCCCCAATGAAAAACAAAAACAAAATTATACCATTGTTCTTAACATATTGAAAATCTCTTTTTTTCTTCTTTTTAAATATGCATTACACTTCAACAGTTGTGTGAGAGTAACATTTCTTTTTTCTTGTTTTTTTTTCTTTTTATGTAGGTCGCGGAGAATTATAGATTATATAATGATGGTGATCTTGAGATTTGCAATCCATTAACAGGACCATTGAATGATAACACAATTACTAGTAATGAGTTTTCCATCTCAGGTGTATTGTTGAGTTCATTTCAGAAGTTGCCTATCCACTTAGAAGATGAAGGTGTCGATGAGCTGCAACCACCCGACTCTAGAATGTCACTTCCTGTACAAACCTCAACACTTGTATCCTTTAGGCATCACGATTGTGTTCCAAAGGTCGTGTGGCATAGTGCCCTGGCAATTTGTCGGCAAAAGATACATGAGAATGTGCTGAGAGAAGTGAGGCTATTTATTGATGGTACAATTAAAAGACTTCTTAAGGCTCTGTTTTCTGGAAAGAAATCTGAAGGCTCTCAGGTTACTGTAAAACTATCTTAGTGCTTCTAAACTACAGATCTACTCCCAGAAGAGTTTTATACTCACTTGGTTATTTGCAATTCCTTTTCAGATCTCAAAGATTAAGAAAGGCAAAAAGAAACCTGATAAACTTGCCTCAGTTAGAAATCAGGTGGAGATATCTCCTGACACATCTTTGACCACCAGCAGATATACGCATTGCCACAAGAAAAGGTTTGATAAGAGAAAATCAGACACCTTATCTCAGTGTTTGACCAGCAAGGGTGTTGCGTCTAAAAAACATAAAGCAAAGAGCCAACATCCTTCCAGTGAGGCATTGGAGATTGCTAAGCATGGAAAACCAGTTGTGAAGTCGAAAGAAACTCGACTGGCTAGATCTGACAGCAAATCGCTTCAAAACTACTCATCATCTCATGCCAAGACTAACGAGAATTCAGACGAGGTTATTACTATCACCAAAGGTAGAGTATCCCCGGATTGTATGTTGTGGCTTAATGGCTTTTGGTGATTGTCACAACAGCAATTGTGAATATTTGATATGTATTACAGGGTGTGAAAATCATGCAAGCGGCACCAAACGGAAGGCCCCTATACTCTCTGAAAATGCTTTTAGTGCTGATAATACTCATAAGTTGAACAGGGTTTCCCAAAAACAAGAAGTGCAAATTATTTCAAAAGGGACACAGAAATGTCAGTTCTGTTTCTATTATTAGTATCTTTTAGTTCTATGCTATTGTTGTACTTACTTGTGGGTCAATTCTCAGCCATCATTTACTTTGTGCAAACAATATATGAGCAGTTTGATTTTTGTATGCAGCAACCAAGTTAGTGAAGCTGCAAAGAAATCGACCAAAAGATGATGTGCCCTTGGAAAAAGTTCAGATTGTTCCTGTTGCTTCTTCTGATCAAGCAACAAATGAGGTTTTTGTACAAAATAAAGGCAGTGGTAAATCCAGGAAAACAAAACGGTGCCCTCGATCAGATGGGTGTGCTCGCACCTCCATTAATGGTTGGGAATGGCATAAATGGTCACTGACTGCAACTCCTGCTGAAAGGATTCGTGTAAGAGGGAGTGGCTGTGTCCATGTTCATTCTGTCAATCATGATGGAAGTAGTTCTCAATCCTCAAATGTTAAAGGAATATCTGCCAGAACAAACCGGGTTAAAATGCGTAACCTTCTTGCTGCTGCAGAGGGTGCTGATATTTTGAAAGCAACTCAATTGAAGGTACAGAGAGTGCTGGACATTTTTGTGCTTCGCTTCCTAAGTTCAATTGTTTAACTCTTCCATATTCATTCATGTTTCAGGCAAGGAAAAAACGTCTGCGTTTTCAGCGTAGTAAAATACACGACTGGGGTCTTGTAGCTTTAGAGCCAATTGAGGCCGAGGAGTTGGTGATCGAATATGTTGGAGAACTTATTCGCCCCAGTGTACGCAACCAGATATCTATACTTCTTCCTTTCTTTAATAGTTGCAAACTTTGACTTTTGAACTATTCCGTTCTTTATTTCTTTTTAAATATTATAAAATTATTTTAAATTTATTGCCAAAGTAAAATTTCAAAACATATAATAGCCAATTAAATATATTAATGGTCAAAGTCGTGCGTTTGTAGATGTTAAATTCTAATTGTTGCAACTAAGTAAGAACAGAGGTAGCATATGATAGTGACATGTTAGTGCTTTTTATGTATCAAGTCTTTATTATGGAGACTAACTCCTACCTTTTGTCTATTAGGTATCTGATATAAGGGAATGCTATTATGAAAAGACAGGGATTGGTAGCAGTTACCTCTTCAGACTGGATGATGGTTATGTTGTAAGTGTGGAAAAGATTTTAATATGGTTTCTTAAAGATTTCTAACTAGTTAAGCTAGTAAAAGAATGCACGTGATGTTTCTGAGACTTGCGAGAGCCTCTGCTTCTTTAAAGTCTTGAGGCGTTCTCTTGTATTTGATATCATAACTCATAATCCCTTGCTTGGTGCTTCAGAGTAGAATGAAAACCGCATAGAGTCTCTGGGAATTTTCTCATATCTTATACCTTCCTCTGTTGTTTTGAATGCTAGCTAATTCTGTTTTGGGGTTAGGAGAAATTAATTGCCAATATTGACACTATTATAGTACTTGTTATCAATGCTTTTTACTTTTTGTGCTCTTGGAAGTTCTCTCTTATTATGTACATTCCGCTGGTGTCTTTTATGTTCAATGAATTTGATTCCAATAGCTATGACTTCAGAAAAATTAGTTACCAAAAGTGAAACAACTGCAATGCTTGCTTTGAAGTTTGGCAGATTCTTTCAACTTATGAACTACTTGAGCTGGTTCATGTTTAGACAGTGAGAAAGATTATGAGCATTACATAACAAAACAGATAAAATATTTCTGCAGGTGGATGCAACAAAGCGTGGGGGTGTTGCTAGATTCATCAATCATTCTTGTGAGGTGATTAATGTAGACTACAAATTTAGATAATTTTGTGACATGAGACAAGGGAGTGTGCATGTTTTCCTCTAAAAAAGATGTTACTCATTTGCACTGGGTATTATGCAGCCTAACTGCTACACAAAGGTCATAAGTGTTGAGGGTCAGAAAAAGATCTTTATATATGCCAAGCGGAATATTGCTGCTGGTGATGAAATTACTTACAATTACAAATTCCCATTGGAAGAGAAAAAGATCCCTTGCAACTGTGGTTCTAAGAGGTAATGGAGTCAACTATCTGTTCTCTACATCGTATCTAAGTTTATTTCTCTTGTTGTGAGCTGGAGCTTGGGATCTTAATTTTCAATTTATTTAGCACAAAGCAAGTGGTTCATTAAACATTGTACAGTGTAAATGATATGCATGTAGTTATTTGTGTACAACGACGCTGGCCTATATGTATTTTCTTCACTTCATTTCATTTTTGTTGTGTACTTGCTGGATCTGCGGGGTATAATACCTTGAGCATGTGATATTTCTCCCTGAAGTGCCTGTAGCTTGGTTTTAAGCATCTATTTAAATCATTTGTATGTGACTATGTAATCTGATTGCTCACAAAGTATATACTATATACAATTTGTATCATGTATGTGCCTTGTTATTTAACTCAATTGTCCTGAATTTTCTAATTAATATTTCAGGTGCCGCGGCTCAATGAACTGAGTTTTTTGGTGGATGCATTTTCCGCATCATCTTCATCACCATCACCTTAGCACCAAATATGTTGGGGTCAGTGGTTTTATTATTAGCGTGAATTAAACATCTGAAACTAGTTCACTTTATAAACTCATGCAAAAAGTTCAGTTAGAAAGTTCTAAATCGGAAGTTCCTCCTGTTGCAACCATCCCACTGAGAAATAATGTGATGATATTCATAAACTGGTATAATCATAAAAAAAGCACCTGCGTAGAAAATAGTGTTTTTTGTGGATCCCTTTTTCTAATTATCACCTAGTTTTTATACCAAACAATTCTTTGTTTTACTATTCTGGTGTAGTTGGTTAGTACAATACCCTTCGTCTTCAAATGAAAAATAGATAAGGTCGGAAATACTCAGACCAGAATTGATTAGAAACATTTGAAATGACTAGGAAAATTCAAAACTGACTAGATCTACAAAAGTCAGATTGTGTTGCATTTGAGACAAAGAGAATGAAAGTTCGTGAAAAGGGTCTAAATTGAACAAAAGCTTAATGTACACACTACACAGAAGATTAGGTGCTATAACTGCCAATCCATTGAAACTAAGAAACATTTGTAGACTGCTTTATCTTCAATGTAAAACACATACTAACGCTTATAATAGACAAACTGTTAGTGTGTTATATAGCTATGATATTAAATACTCCCTCTCTGCCATTATTATCTCCTTCTTTGACTAGCCACATACGTTTAAAAGGGAAAACTATGTGGTTGAGAGTTGTCGAGAGAGAGAGAGAGAGAGAGAGAGAGAGAGAGAGAGAGAGAGAGAGAGAGAGAGAGAGTAGGGAGTAAGGAGTTTATTTCGGGAAGTAAGGAGTAGAACATATAGGCTGTAACCGAACAAGCAAGTATGGAGTTGACCTCTATTTAAGATTCTTAAAGGTCCCTCTTGGTAATGTTTCAGCGGCATGTTTCTAGTGGTTAATCTAATTTTTCATGTACTGCTCAATCTTTGATGTTTATGAATTCTGATGCAATTAATGTGATTTTCAGGTTACCTGTGGTTCTGTAATTGTGCCAATTAATATGATGTGATCTAACCATTTCCAAATGTAAAGGATGATGATGAATACCTGTTCCTATTCAAATACTTGTAGATATCTCAGTGGCAGATGAGTAGCCCCTCTTAAGAACTGAAACTCGGGTGTCCATATTTATTTTTATTTTATGCCTTTTGTTATTAAACCTCCATTCTTTTGTTATTATAATTATAGCATACAATTATCTCATTGACCAAATTCTTATTTGCAGTACGTATGCTGTATAGATAATGATGTGTTCTTATCTGATTCAACTCCAGAACCCCAGTGAATGCTGTCAATTTGTTTGCTTATAGATAGATCGCTACCTCCGTCCTTATCTAAAGTTTCTGTTTCTTATTTTGTGGTATTGAATGGGCATCGTTGCCCATTTTTATCTACGATTGTATATTTATAAAGCCTATAATGAATCGTTGTATGCACTAAAACAGTTTGTTCACTTGACAGTCAATGTACATAAATTATGACATAAAAGTCATTGCATAAACTTCAAGTAAGGGCGGAGGAAGTTGTGAATCATTGTATGATTATTAGCCATAGCAACATTTTATATATATCTCGACAAAAGTGTTCAAACTGACTAGGCATCTAAATTTTCCGTTTTAAGTTGATATGTTCGAAGTCCAAGCAAAGCCACCTATTCAAGGTATCAATAGCAGTTGGTCTAACAGTTGAATAGATTTCAATTCACGGAAAATGATGATCAGAATGGATTTGATACCTAGTCTGAGTGAAGGACGCCCCTTTTTGTAAAAATGAGTCTCTTGAAACACATCATCTGGACAAAAAACGATATTTAGGTGAGAATTGCGGAAATGTATTTAACAAATTGGTTTAAATTCAGATGCTATATTTAGGTTATTTGCATGAGGCAGAAGAGAAAATGGTATCATACCAATTCCAACTATTACTGTCGCAGGAAGCATTGAAGTAGTGTGCGAACTGCTAGGTGGATGTTTTTGAAGCTTTTCTGGTATGTCCTTTTTCTAATGTCTTAATAGTCACCAGTAGGGGTTGTTTACTTTTTTCCATTATATCTTGTCTGAACTAAAATGTCTACTTAGTAAGGGTCTTGGTATTAGAAGTTTAAAGTTGTTTACTTTTGTGCTGAGTATATTATCCAAATTGGGCAGATAACCAATTTAAGGTTGGGTCTTTGTCTAAGAAGTTGTTAACGTTGTATGCTAAGTAAACAGTGTAAACTGGGCAAATAACCAATTGAAGGTTTTTAGCTACCTGTCGTCTTTTGTTAACACATTTATTCCAAAACGTATTTCCTCAAAAAATGGGTGAGTAGACTTTTAAATCATGAGATATATCAGGATTGAACCATTGAGTTGGATTTTGTTTGAATGAGTAATTTGTTTTCTCAATTATGTCATAAACATATGTGATTGATGGACGAACAATTCACTAACTTCTCATGTACATGCTATAAGGGGTGAAAACAATTGGTATATTAATCCTTTGAGACAAAGTACGAATGATGTTTAGGAACGGAAATATGAAATGCACGTCCCATTCATGAAGTGGCAATTATTGTTTTAGGATTCATGAAATAAGGGTGATGTTCTTTGCATGAATGGACAATGGCACTTTTTGCGTCAAAATGGTACTACCTCAGTCCCAGCCTAAAATTTTTATGATAAAATGACACGTTACTTGGACAACAATTACATAAAGTGATACGAGTATATTTTGAAAAATATTTTTTACGAGTATATAATATTATGAGGTCATTGAAGATAACGGTAATGTTATAGATGTATTATTTTTAATATTTGACCATCAAATTATCATTTAAGAGTGTTAATCAAGTTATCAATATTTTTAAGAGTTATTAATAGAAATGATAATCTTTAAGAGTGAAGTGCGGATAAGTGTTGCCCTTTTAAATGAGGCGTGGTGGAGTTCTTTTTGTTACAATCGTGCACAATAATTTTTTAGGGAAAAGAGGCAAATAAGCCCACGTACTAACAAAAAAGGGTCAAATAAGCCATTATATTGAAGGCCTCGTCCGTCCGTCGCCATTTGGGGAGGTTCCCGGTATAATTTTTTGATGAAATTTGTTTAGCGCCGTATTCATTAAGTCTAGTTTAGTCATACCAAATTTCAGCTAACAATTCAATCGAGAAGACATTCAAATGAATTCTTGAATATAACTGCGCTATTATCTTCAAGAATTTATTTGAATGTCTTTCCGATTGAAGTTTTAGTTGAAATTTGGTATGAGTAAATTAGACTTAATGAATAAGATGCTCAAAAAATTTCATGAAAAAATGCCACCGGGAACCGCCCTAAATGGCAACGACCGGACAACATCTTCTATATAAGGGCTTATTTGACCTTTTTTGGTTAGTACATGGGCTTATTTGACCATTTTCCCCATTTTTTATAATATATATTTTCCCCTTGTTCCTTATAAGTAATGGTTGATGTCTTAGTATTAATAATTATAATTATAAATTTATAATCGTGCGAAAGTGACACTTTAAGTAAAGTGTGATTATGCTTGGCAGCGTTTCTTGCAAAATGGCTTAGTTGTTGTTGAGTACCTTAGATTTTGATTGTGCGCATATATTAAAATAGAGGGATATTCTTATCAGGGATATTTTAAAGGGTCGAAAAAGATATAAAAGTTTCTTCGCCTATATGGGACCATCATTTGCCCATATAAATGTATTGAACGGAAAGAATATATTTAGCATTTTCTATTCCTATATCTTGTCTTGCTTCATTTATATGATATGCTTTAACAATTGTGACGAATTCTTTACGCACTATATATATTCAAATCACTTATTTAGTTTTAGGATGTTTTCTTTTGAACTATTTACAGTCCCAGATCACACCAGACTTCCGTAGTTATAAAATATACAGAGACAAGATGTTTAACATATCAGACCAGCAAGTTTCAATCCAAAAGAAAACATTCTTATTTTGTTGGTTGCCAAAATGTATTGCTAACTTTTATTTTCATATGTATAGTTCTATCGAATTTAATGCATCAAACTCCCTTTTGATGTATGAATTCAGCAGATTAGGCCATTGTGAATTTTTGATTAAAAAGATGTGTTAAACCTCCTTGTGTCTTTTCATGCGCAAAATCCCTCAAAGAATAAATTTAACAATTTGGAAATCAATTGTTTAATATTATGATTATTTATGTACGTAAATTTGTTGAGATCTCTTATTCATGCAACAAAATATTAATCATTTTTATCATTTATTTGACACTTAAATTGTCTATAGAGAGAATTTTGTGCATAAATAATTATAACATATGTGGGTTTGACACATTTTTTAAATCACAGAGTGCTAATGCGTCAAATTTATTTAACAAATGGGGTTTGGTGTATCAAACCCAGCTTATTTGTAAACACGTTTAGCGTGAGGCTAATAGATAGTTAACTTTTCCAAAAGTATGTAACTGGAAGTAAAATCGGGCTCCTTAGCTATTTGCACCTGTGATTAACAAATATCTCACTGTTCTAATTTCTAACATCGAACCAACCTTAGCTCAAATGGAAGAGCAGAGGATTCAAGCAAGACTTGGATACAATTCCAAGAATTGCAGAATCCTTTGGTTGTCGGTTCAAATCCGACAGGTTGGTGCTACCTTCGGTTATGGAAGAATTTCTTGCGTATAGTGAGTGATAATGAAAAGCAAAGGCAATACCATTAGCCATTTTTTATTACTCCGTTTTAGTGGATTATTCTTGCTTTTGTGTAGATCATGGTTTTAATGTGCGATCTCTTTCCAATTTCTCGTTTTTAGTGGTTGTTTATCGATCATAGCACTTTGTCTTGAGTGTGACATTGCATTACCTAATTAATCAACTTTGATAAGTATGCCTCCTGCAAGTGTACCAAGAACATTATACTTGCGATTGAATCTGAATTCAAGGAGAAAACTATAGTAGGAGTTAGTTTCTTGCTTGAATCTGGTGGTGTTGACTAATAGGTGACGTGGTGATTCTCTTTGAAACTGTGTTAACCTAGGAACGGGAGGACTAACACGATCAATTCGTTTAGAGCGATTTATTGTGTATAGATGGCAGTTGGAATCTGGCAGATTGTTCGGGCGATTTGAATTTACATCTATCAAGGGTTTGGGATGCACTCGTGGGAGTCTAGGATTAGCAGTGAAATTAGGATCATTTGGTTCTCAGTTCAAACAGAAAACGTAAACCTTACTAGGCTACCAAGTGATATGCGATCTCAGGCATGCAGCTCGTATTTATGTTATGTACCTAATCGTTGTTGTAATGCAGTATCGTTCGTTTTTAAAACGTGTATTTATGGATTGAATTGATGAATGTAATATAAAATAGAGTATCGTTGATTGTTTATAATGTGTGCATTTATGCATTGAATAGATGAATGTAATATGAAGTATAGTTATATAGACGAATTGAATAGATGAATGTGTACACACATGACTTTATTGCTTCATACGTATGTCAGCATGTTTTATGAAGTGCTAATCTTCCATACGTGACACACATCTCAAAGACTCTTTTTTCAAAAACAGGATGTAATTTTTTTTATATAATAAAACATGATGCTCACGTTGTTTTTAAAAAAATGAGGTATGAAGTAAAATCATATCCGATTTATGGGATGCAAAATCAATTTCGCCATTTGGATTTTTATTTATACTTTTATTTGAGTCTTGACCACTTACGTCTTACTAACATTGGGACAAGAGAAAGTGACACAGTTATTGAAAAAAATGAAATTAAGTGGTTAATATTGAATTGATAAAGCAAAAATAAAGTAAGAATGATTTAGAATCATGTTACCAAATTTGTTATTGGACAATTTTATTGGGGACAGATCGAAAAAGAAACATGGCACAACCTTATAGCAAGGAGGGAGTATAAATGTATAATATTTGTTACACTTATTGATAATCACAAACCTAGAAATCCATCAAAATGAATATTTCCTTTTCCATTGTCTTTTTCAGATTTCCCTGTTCCTTTGTTAAAATATTTCTACTATATTTTGTGCATGATTGATTTTAATCATAAACTCTAAATAAACCTAGTAGAGCTAAAAGAAACAAAATGTATTCTGCAATAGGAAGTTTCTTTTGGTGGTTCCTCTATCCCATCTTCTAAGCCCTACTTCAATTCACATCTCTCTGGAAGCACCAAGTCCTTATCTCGTTGGATCTTTTATGGTGCAACATTGTTGTGATCTCTTTTTCACAAAAAATGTACGAAGTCTAACTTACATAAACTCGTTCAACAAAAACAGAAAAGAACTATTGATTTTACAATTTGAAGAAAGATTACAAACATAATCAAAGGATAAATTTAACCATACTTAAAGGGTCCACCCCTAGTCCCCAACCCTTCAAATGTAATTGCATTCATATGATCTCATGATTTAACTTATCCATCAACATTTTAAAAGCAAGGGAAAGTTGAGATAAAGGTAGACTCGGGTCAAAGCCAAGTTCAGACTAGGAGTACACTCCAGCTAAAGACAAGTTAAGAGTAGGGGTAGGATCTACCCAATCTCAGTTCTAAATCCGGCTGGAATCGACATGAAACTTGACTGTAGACTGAAGTAAAAAGTGGTTTCTTACTGGTACCCAATAATTGATCAAAATCAGATCCAGTTCCTCCAAAATAGAACTAGAGCAATTCTGTTACCATTTCTTAAATAGCCTAAAAAAGTAAAAAACTGGTCCAATATCGACACAGAAATCAGATCAAAACCAACTTGGAACCAGATATACTCATATACTTGATTCCGGCTCCGACCTCTCCATAACCCATATCAGTCGGTTCAGAAATGGACTGGGTCCAACCCTAGTTGAGCAAGTATGACCTATTTTTTGGTAACACAGCATCAAAACACACAGCACGTTTTTATCAGGTCCTTCAGGTTGTGACGTGTCATGACTCAAATGACTTTACATGTCAGCACAATCTCCAAAATATTTGCTACTTGTTACAAATTTTGTGTTTCTTGCCCTTCCAAGTAGAAGCTGCAACTTTCTAAAATGACAACATTAAATAAATGAAACTATAGCCCACCTAATTGCTCCCCGGGAAAGCAGTTTGTGTGGAAGAGATCGAAAGGAATAGTTAAAATACTCGAATATGACATTAAAAGAGAGGAAAAAATCTATGCGGTTGATCACCTGAGTCCATTCATCTCCACTTCTCCTGCAACTCCTTCCTCTCTGACCAGATCCATGTTACGAAAATGGCCACTACAAGTGCAACAATGGTAAGAAGAAGCAAGGCATAACTGAAGTCCTCGGTTAGAGAATCATAGGTCTTTGAAGGAGCCAAGCGTGTGAAAAAGAGATCAACTCCATATGCAAAGACAAGGGTGGTTGACTCCAGTTTTGCCGGAATGGTTACTATTCCTCCAAGGCCTTCCACTTTCACAGCATGAGTCACATAAGACTGCATATTTACTTCAACTCAGTATTATCAACAATGAATATTTGCATTTGTCTTAATATAGCAAATATTATTATTGTGTAAGGATATAATAAGACAAATATAAGGCTGCAACACAACTATTCAATCTTTCAAACACGGAGAGACTTGTATAGAAAGACATACAAGTGCCCATACAAAATTTGAACATTAATGAGTTCGTTCAAAAACCACGTTTCAAATTGGAGATAAAAGAAAAACAGCCATACCTACCAGTAACTAATCAAATTTAGAAAGAATGAACTCCTTGAAAAGCCAGATGACTAATGCGACATAGTAAAGCCATTCCCACTGGCGATTAATTTAAGTTGTTTAAGAAGTTATTTTTTCACCTGGGGGATTATAGGTAGGGAGTCAGTAAGAGGTATTATTCCTTCCTCTTTCTCAGCCTGTGTAGGATTCACTGTTCTCCGGGGATCTAAAAAGCGCTTGTCCAATGCCAATACCTGTACATTCATTCATTCAAATAGAAAACCACATCAAAATGAAAATCTTAAGACACTTGGTGTACTAGAATGAAGAGAATACACCAAACAAGATAATAGCACATGAGCAAACAAGAATCAAACTGAGAGTAAACCTAACCTGGTCACCAACTGTGCCAATAAGAAGCTGCTTGGATGTTATACCTTTGGTTGTCGAAGTTACTGCTATTGTTTTCACAGAATGCGTAAAAAAGTAAGACTGTGACTTAGTAGAAACTTCAGGATGTGAAAATGATGAAACCGGTTTAGTAAGATTATGCTTCCCAAGAACAAGTTTCAACAGATCCTTGTTATCCTGCAGAATGTCAACGTTCAGAGCAGGCCCAAAAGAAGAAGAAAAAAACAAGATACAGTTATGAGATGCACCGCTCGAGATTGATCATAGATCTCAATCACAGACATTTCATATCTATGTGCCCTTAGATTGAAGTAGTGGTAGACAACCCAATTCTCACTGAGTACCTTGAAACAGAAATTGCATATTCAAATTTAGTCGATTACATTATGTATGGAGGAATGCGACAGAAAAAGTGTATCAAAGATTTTGGTTTAAAATGACTCAACAGTCAAAATAAACTCAAATAGTATAAATGTGTTTACATTTGGCATGGTCTTTTCTTGGATGCTAACTAATTTATAAATGTGTAAACACACTTATAAATGTGTTTACAAGGGTTGGATGCCAACCCTTGTTAGGGTGAGACTAGAACCTCGATCCTTCACTTAAGAAAGTAATATTGATGTTATCAAACAACAAGGTGCTTGACATGGTAAAATGTAATTCTTTTATTCTTTTGGCAACAGAACTATGTTAAGGGTGGGGCTGTTTGTAAATAAAACCAAGAGTAAAACGTACAACTTACAGCATTGACAGGTCCCTGTGAGCCTTGATGAACCATGCGGTGAAGTATACGGCCATTAACAGTATCAATAAGATATACAACCAGACACGACTCATCAGGGATGGCTGATCCAATATCACCAGCTGCTTTAGGTGTAACAGTAGCTACATAAATCATATTCTTAGATACGTATTTATACATCACATCCTGATCTGCAGTTACCTTTGCTTGTGTATGAACTACCTGGGAAGAATGAAAAAAAGAAGCACAAAGAGGCAGAATTTTGTCAGCAATACCATTGAGAGTTTGCTACCTCTTGGGAACTTCAATAAAATCTACAAGTAAAACTCAAGTAAGGAGACAGTGCTAAATTAAACAGGCATAATCCATGCAGTGCTCTATGGTGCTACTGTAGGGAGTTGGAGGTAATGATTTTATCCTGACGTCTAATTCTAATACATCTCACTATTTTGGATGGAATGTTATTAGCTATAAGTGAATTGAATATAAATAATTAAATAATTAACATAATCTTAGAGACTAATAACATAATTTTAAGAATTAATTCGATTTATTACCCATATTTAGTCACCTTCACATCTATATAGGACCTTAAGAAATATATAAAATATTACGTCCCTACCGTTAGGAACTATGTAAGTTCGGTGGTCAGATTCATGTGTAACCACATGCTGCCCCAACTGTCACCCGAAACTTCACACGCCATCACATGAACAACCTTTCGTGACCAGAATCTTCACCAGCCGACACCTCTTGAGGGTTCTGGGTTCGTTCAACGATGATTTGGAGTTGGATTGGCCACTCTAGTCTCCACACAGGTTTTTTATTAAATTTTGAGGTAGCCAGGTAGGAATACTCTTTTTCTATTCTGTTTCTGCCATATGCCAATATGTGTGAGCCTAAGCCTCTGATGTTGTTCCCATGACTCAAAAATTAGGAAAACAAACTTAATGGGTGTAATTATATGGAGTAAGACCATTACAATCTTCTTTAGAAGCATTGAAAATGATTATCAGTTGCTCACATGACTGGTAAGTCGCCAAGAAGACCACGTATGGTGCCCAAACAAGAACGTGAAACACAATTTTAATTTTTATGTACATAAGCTTATCATCCATTTAGGACATTTATAGTAATTTTAATTCAAAAAAATTAAACCTTTGACATTACAGAAATTTTTTGCGTGTCAAACAAATAGATCTGAAGACACGTCTAAGATTTTAGTCCAAGTTGTGAAAGTTTGTATTTATAAAATGGAAGTAAAAGCATTTGGTGCAAATTATCTAGCCCAAATCATCTTGCTAAGCTCAACATCATTATCATCAGACTGAATTAAAAATGTTCAACCTAAAACTTGGAATGTCAAAAATAATAATATCATATTGCTAACTAAATCACTTAACCCTAGCCTTCTGCGCAATTCTACCATGCCATTTGACCTCTTCTTCTCATTCGATCTTATGCACAAGCAATCTTCTTCCACTTAGTTTATTTCCTTTTCTTCCCGTTGCTCAGTGCCTCAGTCCTAATCATAATCTTTCCACCGTTCTGCTTCCACTCTTTTGAATGCCCCACTTATGTTCTGTTTATAAGGATTTAAGCAGAAATCCACATCTAGGCATTCCAGAACTTCTTGCCCGAAGTGTTTCTGGAGCACTAGAGCCTGGTGAATGAGGACTAACATGCTGGAACACAGTACGGGGGGGGGGGGCAACATAGCGCCACATTATTCTTACAGCTCTGGAACTTAACAGACAGTGAGGTATTTGACTGGATCAGTCACTGTAAATCAACAAATCAACTGGATCTTGATTTTTTTTACTTTAGTAAAGAGAATGGTAGCTGTACGTATGAGGTTCGTAAGGACTTCTCCCACACTAAGCAACAACAACAACAAATGTCTGTTTTGAATTTTTTGGAAGGTCTTCGATCCGAATTTGAGATGGCCAAACCCCAAGTTTTTCTGGCTGTAGAATCACATATCATAAAGATGCCATTTTCGAGCATTGGGCTCTCAACCCATTCAACATAGGAGTACTAGTTCTAGTTGGTCCAAATTCTAAGCCTGGTGGCCCTTGGAAGCAACCATATAGGTTAAATGGAAAATAGAAAATCAGGGACAGAACTTACGAGTAATTGTGAAATTATTTCCATACGCCTGAGATATGAAGGGAGATTGCTGGATATAGCAGAAAAAGAACCAAGGGACCCAATGTGATGCATATGAGAAAAGCCTATTATGATGTCTGTCAGATGAGTTTGCTAAACTCTATCAGTATCTAGAAACATTATTACAACTAACTCTGACCCCTATCACTGTTAGTCTGTTATAGCACACTACCCAAACAGTCACATTGTCTCATCCTTTGACACCCTTCCCAAGGGTATTGATTTGTGTACCACAAAGTCACAAACCTATGGAAGGAAACTCCGGACAATTCTCTACTTCTAGACCCTGTATGTCTACTTCACTTGTTACCATAGCTGATGGATAAACCACACAAATACTCGGTCCGGTACTTGTACCACTTGAGCCCTTCATCAGGTGACATTTTGTACTAGTTGCTGTTTGTTTCAGGATCATTTGATGAAGATTATTAGGACATAAGTCGGGAGGTCTCTAAACTCTTGACACCAAAGAACAAAAGCTGGTTGCCTGTCCAGTAGAGCAACTCCCTTTGGTGTCCATTGTCTTTAAGGGCAGCCATCTCTTGATTAAAGAATCTTTGCCCTAGATTTTAAAATGTGTCTTCACTAAATTGCAGGTCTTTTCAATTTGCTATACACCATGGTGTAAAGAGTTGACGAACGAGCAAATAAGCATTGCTTTGATTTACTTACCCATATTTAATTATCCTCACATGCATCCCTCTTTTGTACATGAACTTACATTACTATACACCATGGTATAGGAACTTACTTTACTCATAGTATACAAAATATTGCTTCCCTCTTTTCCCTATAGTTACCACATGAAAATAATAATAATATTAGTATATAAAGTCACAAAACATGGAGCAATCTTTGAGCAAGTTCCTACTCAAGCTGTCAACCAAAGATGTAATAGGCTCATATCCACCAAGAGGATTTTAGCAGGACATAGATTTTATGAAAAGAAAGAGGTCAAAGCAGAAATAAAGAAAAAAACAATTTCCTATAGCGAAAAATGATTGAAAAAGGGGTGCAAGAAATAATGATAAAAATGAGCAAAGATCGTGACTTCTTTGTAAGATAATTTTAAACATAACTATTACTTGAAGGCACCGCCCAACAAGACTAAAAATGAGGGGGGGAAACTCATAACAACATAACCTGTAAAACAAAATGCCAAAAGAATTTACTCCATAGTTTCCTAGATCTTAAAAATAATCACCTCATTCGATTTCCTTGAAGCAGTAGCAATAATCTGTTCTGATTCTGAAGGAAACACAATTGACCATACATCCCTAGTTGCAAAATGGTAATCGTCGCCCAATCCTTGAAAGTAATTCTCCACCACTGCATGTCCCCTTAAGATGTTATTAGTTTCCAGTGAATACCAATATATGTTTCCCAGTTCACGTTTCAATATGCCAAGAGCCTCAGGAGTTCTAGGATATAAGTGTCCATGACCATCAGTGTCTATCAGCAGATGAAGTCGTTGTTCAGTGGAATCAGTATACGGGAGAAGAATAACCCGTGCAATGGAATGACCCGGTCTCAAATTATTGAGTTCCTTCCCAGTGTATGCATCAACAAATGACAGAACACTAGAAGCATCTGAATTTAAACCACATTTGCCAACTACAAGTACAGATGGGTTCTCATCCATGGCATGATGATGTGGGACCTGCCACTGATATATCTTGAAGCCATTCGGGTGTTCACAAGATTTTGATTGTCTGAGAGCATCTACAAGGAAAGACCAAACAATTCGTCCATCTCCAGTGTGTAGTGCATAAAGCTTCCCAGCTTTACTAAGTACTATCAGTAGTTTCCTGAATCCATTATGGTCTCGAGTCATCTTGCTTTTCTCAGAGCTTTGTAACCTCATCTGTTGTATAGCTGCCATATCATCAAGAGTAGCAAGCATCATAGTTCCTTTAAGCTTCAGGATATGTCCCTTCCAGCAAGAACAAGATAGATAAAATTAGATATTACACATCATCAAATAATAGTAGAATAACAACTTCATTGACCCCTTGGGTTACTCCAGTGGTCACAGAGACACCTATATTTCAACCTCTGATAACAACTTTGCAATCATTGAATGCACTATGTGTGGCACGAGTAACAACTATCTCAACTCATAGCCCTCTCATAAAGTATTCCATGAAGTGAATAAATCTATGATGAATTGATTATGACAGTTTGGAAATTTATCTCATTATTTCTTCTTTGGAAGGTTGTGATTTGAAATGCAACCGATGTAAGACTATGTCGCTATGTTTTTAAGCATACTTCCTCCATTCTTTAACAGTTGCAAACACTTTTACTTCTACACTATTCACATACTCTACTTTGACTACATTTTATTTCTCAATGTATTAAAAGTTAACAAACACTTTTGCTTCTACACTATTCACATACTCTACTTTGACTACATTTTATTTCTTGATGTATTAAAAATTTATATTACAATATGCGTCTCCAAGTAAAATTTCAGAATATATAGACTTCTTTATAATTTTTACTAATACCCAATTAAAAATAATATGGTCGAAGTCATGAGTTGGCACTTTGGGAGACATACAATTTGATGTCGTGCAACTAAATAAGAATGGAGCTAAAATGTTATTATTGTAATAACTTATTTTAGACATGTATTGACACTAGTATATCATGCCACCAACCCAATGCAGTTGGCAACTTGGCATTGAGATGGTGTTGATGATGATAATATATCCTTTATGATTTTATGCTTCAGCACTCAGACCATAATCTTCTATTTAAAGAAAATAGGCTCGAACACTTAAGCTATGTCTCATCTTTATTAAACAAAGTCAATACAAGCAAAATACCTTAATCCATTCGAAAAGGTTCTGCTCCACTTTGGAAACAGATACCCCATCCTTTTCTAGAGGTAATTCTGAAGTTGTTACATCTACAATGGAAGCAAGCCCGTCTTCTCTGCTCCAGACAACCTCACCTTGTTGGAGTAACAATAAAGAATGATCCTCTAAGACAACCAGGGCCCTAAATCCATAAGATCTGTCTGTCCTGATGTAATTGTTGACGAAAACCTTATGAACTAGCCCCTTTTGACTGTCCAACCTTGAGCTTTCCTTGAGTAAATTCATATCCCAGTCACTGATTGTTTTTACAGAGAGATTAATCTTACCAGCATCATGCTGGACAAGTCCAAAAGCTTGGTGACCTTCTGAAACAGATACAGAATCACTTATAGCAGCACCATACGCAACTTTGCCAACTAGCTCCAGTTTACCTTCATGTGTAACTCTAAGGAACAACACGGATTCTTTTATGTGAACAGCAACCATCCCTATAATCTTAGCAGGTAAGAGCACTGCTGCTCCTGTAAAATCCTGAACAAGGTCTGCTAAATGCAACTGTTGGGAGCTAATAAGTCCATCCTTGAAAGCTATAGAGAGTAGGATTGACCCAGTGGAATCAAGTGCCACCACAATGTCACTTGTGAGCAGTGCAATATCACCAGAAAATCCGCCATGAAATACCATGCTCTCATGCTTCAACAGTTCACCATTCATGGCATTTATTTTATATGCTTCAAATAGAGATGAACCACTAAGTCCTACTGCGTATATATCATCAGTGCCTTCATGATGAACTATGTGCTGAATATCAATACTGCAAAAATAAAATGCACATACTGATGCAATGGCTCGAAAAAGAGAAGCTATGAGAATATATAAGGGTACAATTTATATGAGCTTCTAACCCCTCCTTCCCTAGCTCCGTCTTCCAGATAACTTCCCCATCCGTGCTTGAAACAGCATGCAGATATCCATTACTATAAATAAGAATCAAAATATTCTTGTTGACTTTCAAAAATGACTGCAAAATGTTAAGAAAATAAAGATGAGTTAAAGGCAACGCTTAATGTGAAAATCCAGAAAGGTTATGGATATTATATATGAAAGCACTTCTGACTATCCAAATTTAATTTAATTGAGTATTAAAATTGAAAAAGTTGAACTTACTGGAACAACTAAAAATGATCTCGAAGCATTTGAGCCAGTAAGGAATGATTCCCACACCATCTGGCCATCAGGAAGGTTCCATGCTCTCACAGTACTTCCAGATGACAGAGTAATAACATCTGAAAGAGAAATTATTGTCAGTGAACGTAGACACTTAGGGGGTGTTTGGATCTAATTATTGCAGAAGCAGAAACTGGAGTGTTTGGGTGAAAGTGCAGAAGTGATTCTGGTGCTCTAACTTACTCCTAGAATCAGTTTTTTGAGAAGCTGGGGTGACCAGCTTCTGAAAACTGATTCTGATTCTGCTTTAAAAAAGAAGCACAAGCAGAATCAGTTCCAAACACCCCTTAATCTGTACTTCCATAGTCATGCATGTTATAAGTGATGTGGCATGATATAAGAATAGATAAAGCATAAATCAATGCATTTGCACATATATCAGTGGAATGCAATTGCTCGAGAAGTCCAATTTCAACATATATTGTGAATATAATTTCCTTATGAATTCAAAATTCATACATCAAACATGAAAAACTGAGGGATATAGTCATATAGAAAAACTGTAATTTCTCTAGAGTCTAGAGAAACTGAAAACCCATTATTCTCTGGAAAAGGTGACCATGCCCTTTTATAGAGGACTACAATTGAAGTCATTTCACTCGTCAGGTCAAGCAATGTGAACCACGAGAAACAGGGAAAGCAATGGGCGATTTACATTAAAAAATAGCAAAAATGTGAAAGAGATTTTGTACATTTCCCAATGGTGATGTCAATTCCATCAATCACATCGTTGCGCCCAAATACATGCCTCCAAACTGCAAATGATAAAATTAGATTAGGCCATGTAAACTATGAATGCTTTTAAGCACTGGAGAACGCAAATAGAGAGCAAAATCAGTTAAAGATTATAACGACTGATTGTGTAAAGCTTATGTAACTAGACTACTGAGACAAAGCGTTAACCCATACAATTTCACATGCTTACGGTAAAACAAATAGGTCAATAATCCATAAAACTGAGGTCTGAGGTGGCAATCCACAGTCATAATTCCTAATCACGAGCTTTATCAAATGGCTTTGATTTGTACTTCAATTTAAAGGGAGCTTACAAATATCTCCATGGCGAAGATCGAGGGAGGCAATGACATTCTCCTCAGTGGAGACAACCACGCGCTTCCTCCCCGCCTTCTGCGTATGGAACACAGCGTGCTTCACTTTTCCTATGTACCGTTGATGCCTGCCGTCATGAGTTCGTAAAAAAACAATTCAATTCATAACATTTAAACCAAGCACAGAGACGCCTCGCATATACAAGTGCGCGAGCTTAGAGTGAGTAAATGTACCAGTCCATGAGGCCGACTTGGTCTTCGTAGAGAGAGAATGAAGTATAGGCAGAGGAGAAGAAAACCAGAAAAAGGAGAAGAAAGGCTCTAGCCGCCATGGCTGAGGCGATTTGGTTGTTACTCTCTCTTTCTCTCTCTACAGTGAGGAGAGGTGGAGGCGTGAGAAAGCAGATCGGATCAAAGCAAGTACGAACCGAGTGTAGTTCGTTCGAGACCTGAGCCTGAAAACACGATAATTTCTCACTGTAGTATTTTGGAACAACCGAGTGTGATGTTGTTTTTAAGAAAAGATAAAGGCAATTAAGTTCTTATTTAGGAAGTTCTGTCCGGCCGTCGCGATTTGGGGCGGTTTTCGGTGAATTTTTTTGGTGAATTTTTTTGAACATCTTATTCATCAAGTCTAGTTTACTCATACCAAATTTGAGCTAAAACTTCAATCCGGAACACGTTCAAATTAATTCTTGAAGATAACTGCTCATTTAACTGCACAGTTATCTTCAAGAATTAATTTGAATGTGTTCCCGATTGAAGTTTTAGTTGAAATTTGGTATGAGTAAACTAGACTTGATGAATAAAATGGTCAAAAAAAATTCATCAAAAAATTTCACCGGGAGCCATCCCAAATCGCGAAGGCCGAACACAACCTCCTAAATAAGGATTTAATTGACTTTTTATAAAAGTTCGAGGACCTATTTGACAGTTTTCCCAAAAATAAAATTATGTGGTTAGTATTTATTTGGGAGTGCTATGTGCACCCCATTATTACTTAACGTAACCACGTATAGACTAATTTGAGTTTTTTTAATTAATGTTAATTAATTAATTAATTACCAAAATAATGCTGGAAAAAAAGTATTTACGAAAAAGTATTTTCAATACCCAAATTTAGCTACATTCAAGTCTACCCAAATGCCCAAATGTCAAAATACACATTAAAATTTACAATCAATTTAAAATCAAATTTCAACCATTCATACATATCTACATTTCACAACAACTTAATTCAAAATCAATTCATAATCCAAAAATTCGAAATTTTTAACATTCAAAACCCTAAGTTCAAAATGAGATGAAATGGAGTTTTATTTACCTAGAAGAAAGAAGGAGTGTTGCAGAAGAAGATGAAGGTTAGCCGGAGTGGGGGGGCCGAAGATGGAGCTTCGCCGGAGTTGGATACGAGCTCGCGGTCGTCTTGGTCGTTCGTTTGTCGTCGGTGCGCCTTGGGGGGAATTGGGGATGAGTTTTACGCAGTGTTCTGTTTTGGGGCGTGGCCCGATTTTTTACTTAAGGGAAAGTCGCCCAACGGTTTGACGACTTATAAGTCGCCCAACCGTTGGGCGACTTATAAGTCGCCCAACCGTTGAGCGACTTTTTCCGACCATGGTTAAACCAGCAGTATTTTGGTAAATACTTTTAACCCAACCCTATTTTCGTAATTAATTAATTAATTAACATTAATTCGAAAAAAAACTCGACTAATTTGTCCTCTTAGACCTTTTTCTTTACGGAGTCACTTATATAGCTGAGTAGTTCAAATGTTAAAATTCAAATAAGTAATAGTGTAATACCATCTTCAACCATTGGCTAATTCTTTTTAATCCACTGTTTGATAACACATCGGTAACAAATGCTTTTTTCGTAAACCATTATTACAATTTTTTATTTTTGCTCTGATTTTTATAGAAACTATATCAAATAAAAAAAATTAATTTTTGATATGACATCAATATTACATATCTAAATTACTTTGAATAATACAAAATATTTTTCACGAACAAAAATAATATGAGTACATACTTGAAAATAAGTTTTAATAATACCAACTATTAAAATATAGACCAAAAGTGTTAAAGAGAAATTTTTTACTAAAAAATCATCCATTTAACTATCTTAAAAACTTGTATCAAAATATCTGATAAATAAAAATTTTCTAATTTCATTTACTTGATGGGTTACTATTAGTTTTTATGTCTTAAATGATCAAAATTCTTATCAAAAAGTGTCTCAACAGTCAACAATATTTTTGTTTGACATTCAAATAGTTGGTATTATTAAAAATTATTTTCAAAGTACATATTAGGATGTCTTTACTTGGACTAGAATTTTCTAGTCTTGTCTGATCAGGTCTAGTCTGATAAATGTTTGGTCTTTGTGTATTTATAACAGTCCAAGTCTTATTTGGTTTGGTCTGACTCGAGCTGATCTGGACTGAAAGCAGTCCAAGTTACAACATCTTTATCATTGGTTTATGGATGATAGTTGAACCAAGCATTCCAACCCAACCGGTTGTGAGGTTACCGTGTTTAGTGGGAGGTCCCGGGTTCGAATCCCGCTAGAGTTTTAGCCCAAAATTACTTCAGCCCCCCCCCCCCCAGACATCCTCCCCCAGACCCCCCCCCCAGAGTAAAAAAAAAGGATGATAGTTGATATTATTCAAAGTTATTTTACCTTAAAGTCTTGACAAAATATAGACTTAAAATGATTTTACTTGGACTGCAATTTTCTTATCTAGTTTGATTTGGTCTGGTACTTGGACTATTAGGAATTATGTTATTGTGTCCAATTAAATTAATTATCTTTGTAATTGTGTGTTTAATTTAATTATTAAGCCTTGTATTTTATTTAGCCCATTTAATTTGTATTTATTATTTATGTATTTATTTATTTATTTATTCATCATAAAATTCAAAAATTAGATGAATAAAAAATTATCTAGTATTAATAATAGTTTAGACAAAAAAAATATTTTTCAAGAGGATATATAACGGAAATTATGAAATGTTCCTATTAATTCATTTGAAAGCAGTTATAGAAGAGGCATTAATTACAGGAATCTACCACAAAGTTTTCAAGAATGATCGAAAAGGTATCCGAACACTCCAAGTCTCCAATCCAAATAAAAAATTGTCCATGTCACCTTTTGCAATTTTGGTGTAATGTTACGGACACTATAATTAAGAAAATAAAGAGGTCATAATTGTCCATACGTGAGATAATATCGGTGCGCCAAGCCATTCTTTCGGTGCGCCTATCATTCCGTATTCTAACCATTCAAATATTATCAAATGTGGTATGAGACAAACTTAGTGGGACAAACGAAAAAGGTAAAACGGGACAAACTTAAGGGGACGGAGGGAGTATTAGTGTATATATATTTATGAATTTTTAAAAGGCGCAAAATACCTTTTATATTTTTATAAACGAACAAATTTACCCTTATTGACTTTAAATTGATAAAATAAATTTCAAAAAACATCACAAATAAATTATAAATTTGAAATTTAAAAGTAAAAATATTATTATAAAAATCTCCCTTTTATGGTTTATATACCACAATTTAATATTTTTCGTATAAAATATTATTTCAAAGCTTTACATATTTGTTTCAATGTAAAAATATATATTAGTTTTGAAAGTGTTAACATATGTATTGCAATGTAAAATATATATATATTAATTCTTTGCATTCTTTACACTGTAAAATTATTTTATGTGATGATAAATAGTTCAAGATTACAAAATAGTGAATTTAATTTTATTAAGGTTATTACTTAAAAAATGTAACAATGTGTTTAAAATTTCACAACAAGACTAAAATTATGACTTTGAAGTGCTTCATTTAAAATTAGTTTTTTAAACTTCAAATTACTACGTAATAATTTATTTTTGATGTTTTTTGAAATTTATTTTATCTATTTAAAGTCAATAAAGGTAAATTTGCTCCTTTTTAAGAACATGAGGGGTGTTTTTGTACTTTTTAAAGGTTCAGGGTATATATGCACTTCAACATATACTTTAGAGGTATATTTGTTCTGAAAATAGAACATGGGTCTATTTATTCTCACACTCATACTATACGGGTATATTTGTACAATTGTACCTTTTCTTTTTCTCAATTTCTTTACCGGTGGGAGTGTAGGATCGGAGGTTTGGGGTGAGCATCTTGGTTTTCAATTGTGTTTTTATCCGTTTCAAACAGGCTCGAAGAATTATTATCAAATAAGAATCGTACTATTTTCCAGTTCAGTTTAGTTCGATTTGATTTAGTTCAGTTTATTGAATTTCCTTATTTCGGTTCGGTTTTTATCATTTTTGTTTCGAACCAGTTTAGTATAATGTGATACGATTTGATTTGGTAAAATCAAACTCATATGCACATCCCTAAGTTTACGCATCACTCTTTGTTTTCCTTTGTCATCTTAGGGGGTGTTTCTATCTGCTTCTTAAAATTGTTTCTGCTTCTTCAGGAACCATAATCATATATTGGAGTGTTTGGGTGAAAATTTTACTCAAACGCTCCAATATATGATTCTGCTTCTATGAAAGTGTATAGGTACTTCTGGATGCTCAAATTGCTCTCGGAAGTGGTTTTTTAGATGTTGGGGGTCCAGCCTTTGAAAAAATGATTTTGATTCTGTCCTTAAAAGGAACTAGAAGCATAGCCGATTCTAACTCCTCTTAATTTTACACTAGAATTCTTAATCCTTATATTTATAATAGCAGGGACGGACTTATGTGTATGGGTAGGGGGCAATTGCCCCTCCCAGCTTTTTTATTTTTTAATACTACTACTATTAGATATGAAATGATAAAAAAAGTTCAGGTCAAAATTATCTGATAGAGGTCTCAATTTGAGATGCTTACCGGTAGATTTTTTGATAAATTTTTGTGACCATATTTTGTATGAACAGTAGATTATGTCGACCAAATTTTAGCTTAAAATTCATTCGAAAAGTCACTAAGATCAGATAATATATGAAAAAATATCGTGTTGTTTTTAAACATATTTTGGCACAATATGTTCCAATAGTTTATTTATTTGACATCTGAATTAAATTTTAAACTAAACTTTGGTGTAAATAATCCATGTGGAAGCACCTCAAACATAGGCGGCCAAACGGTGGCCAGGTCCTGTCAGGTAGTTTTTGACAAAATCATTGCTTATGAAAATATTACATATACTGTATATGATTAAAAATAGTGCAAATTATGTTTTATTTCTCAAATAGAACAGAGCAGTTCCTATCAAGTATGTTTTGTATATGATAAAATTCCCGCTATCAAGGAAAATTTTCTTATTATTGTTTGTCTTTCTTCTTGCCCCCCTTATAACTAAATCTTGGCTCCGTCCCTGTATAATAGGATCTCTGTAAGCTCTACACCACATTAGTTGTTTCTTTTAGTTGGACACAATTAACAATAAATGACTGAATAGTGAAAGTTGTCGTTGAAATTTAAGGAGAATG